CAGAGTTTCTTATTGATATCTTAACGCGTTGAAAAATAATATATGAGCCGCGTCACGACAAAACCAATATAGTGGGTTTGCGACCAGCATGGATCCATCCCTGATCAGGGTCCATGCTGTTCGCTATCAGTTTCTCTACTTGTAATAGGGTTTGTATGCGAACAGCATGGATCCTGATCAGACTGCGCGGATGCGCATGCTGGTCTGGATCCATGCTGGTCGCAAGCGCATTACGTTGGTTTTGTCGTGACACGGCTCATATATGTATATATATCATGTGGGGAAAACAACAGTTAATACACAATAAAGTGAAACCATGTTATAAACATGTGTGTATCTATATATTAAAAATATAAAAGGGCAAAATAATAGAAAAAAAATAAAACAAATTACAATTCTAGAATTAGAGAATGAAAATCATCAATTGCCTGCAACATTTTCAGTTTTGCCGTGTTCTGGTGTTGGACTTTCTTTTTCTCTATTTTTAAGAACAAAAATAGAAATATTGCTGGACTAAGTAATGAAGTTTTGCTAAAATTCACTATTTATTAATTTTGCAAATTTAGCAACGTTTGGTTTATAAAAGCAAAAGAAAAATAAGTAAATAAATAAATAAATAAATAAATAAATAAATAAAAGAAACAATCAAATAAATAATGAAAATCGCCATGTAGCCGATTAATTATTTGAACATGCATAATGTTCCAAAACACAAAAAATATCTTGTTCAAGCTCATTTTGGTTGAAAACATAAAGCCGCTCACTCCGGGTCACGGTGACCTTTGGTTGCAAACTTAATTATTCTTATCATATTTAAGTCAAATATAATACAACATAAAAATTAAACGAAGACCATATTTCTTAATGGTAGGTCGGCCCACTCCATGTTCCATCCTTGCACCCTCTTGCTTTTGTTTAATATATTGGGTGCCTTTGCTTTTGTCCAGTGTGTTCGAATTTTGTCCGGCGGACTGCTTTGCAATGAAGTCAGAAATAAAAGTATTACTCGGATACTTCAGATGAAAAACGTGTCTGTTAAAGATGGTACATATTTAATAAATATTTTGCTCTTGATGTTAAACGAAAAGAAAAGAAAAACATAAAATCTAAGTTGATTGTTTTAACATGACCATTGTAATGCAAGGACATTGTCATGGCTCATTGTTAATAAGGGATTATGATGCTTCTCGGCGAAAGCAAATAAATGTATCAAAACCACGTACATGTACAAGAAAGTATCGTTGATATATTTTTTTTATTTTGAGCTACACCATCTTGATTTTATTTATTTTGTAGTTCTCCACCTTGAAAATAGTGCGTGTGATATTCACTCAATACAATATTTATCCACTGATGCAACAAATTAATATATCCAATTTCTATTACTTGTTCTGTGCTGCCATTTATATTTTGTTGCAAAATGAAGATTTGAACGAAATTACCATTATTTCCTTTTTTTGGCCAATCGTTTCTTAGCAAAGGAGTAATTATCTTTAGCGGATATATAAATTCAAACGTAGTTTCAAGAAGTATCATTCATTGTATTTCATATATACTCGTCTTTAATGCTGTAAATATTTTAGTTTAAATCTAAATCAAATGACATTTAGTCATTGTAACTTTAAATGAATATAAAAAATCCAACATGATCGACATAGAATTATCTTTATATTCCTGCGACTTATAACAACAAATTAAGCATTTTCTACTTGGCAGTGCAGTAAGAATCAGCGTGGTGTTATATACAATGTATTTTAAATTATAATTTCAAACGTGTATATTACCTATAGAATCTTAATATTACAAATAAATAATCAAGAAAAAGATAGTTCCATCGCATATAGGTTTGCACACCTTTAAATAAAGCAGTGGTTTGCAACCAAAAAATGCTTGAAGTTCAAATGTTCAACTGAAATGTGTTTGAAAAGAAATTTGTGTGTATTGTATCTCTATTTGAAACATGCAAATTAAAACATTGGCACTGAAACATGTTTTGTCATGTTTGTTGAAAAACGACTAGAATTGTCACTGGTCAATTTTCAAATATATATGTTGCATTCGTGAATGGAAATACGCCAAAAAATCAAAATAACAAGCACTTTCCTGTACAAATTCGAGCTTTATGACTCGGTTGTCTTTTGTCAAGTTTGCTAACTATTGCGCTGACTCGAACCAAGTGTGTGCATCCACTTCCGCCCCTTATTAAATGATTATTTGTTAAATTTCTGATGTTTTCGTACTAGTACTGTTATAAATATATGGCTTTATACAAAGAGTGATTTGCAATTAAAAACATAGTGGTCAATTTTAGAAAGATATGATATATATGGGCCTCAAAGCGCTCACCTGAAGACAGACTTGTTGGGAGTTCCTGTACATGTAGGTTGATAAATATCCTGTGAGGACGTTGTTATGTTCAAATATAATTACGAAACATCAATACAAAGCCATTCATTGCCAATTTCAGGAAAATTAGGGAATTGAACTTGAAGTCAAGGTCATATGGTATCGCGAATTACATGTAAGCAAATTAATGTGTCTAACTTTTATCTTCCGTGGTGACCTTCCGATGACCTGTTTAAATATATCTCAGTTTGTAGTAAGCTCTAATATTCGAGTGTTTTGGCGGGAAACACGTGACTTCGTACTATAAAGATGTTGTTTACAGTATGCAAGTTGTACAATGTAGTTTATTTCAAGTATTCCAACACTCTTTATCATGCTATATTAATGAAATAAAATTGAAGAAATTAACAAATGGAATTTACGTAGATTCTAGAGTTGCTCTTTTTCCAAGAGCTCTCAAAGCATGAACTTTTCACATTGGTTATTCCAGGGAAATAAAAGAAGTCACCACCATACATGTGTCAAGGTCATATTTCTTATGATATGCCCAAGAAAACATTATGAAAAATATGTTTGTCATTCGTCAAATTTTACTATAATTGGTTTGGTGTTTAAAGAGAAGACTTACAAACACACAGCCGGACGATACACAGCCTCCTACCAGTACAATAACCTGCAGTCACTTTAAGATAATGTATATTTGAAAATGTTTAAATTATTTCATATCAAAGCTAGTACTTGTTATAAGTATCATATGTTACATCTTATATAAATGTGTTCCTTTTTTACTTATATGTGTCAGCGGCCCTTTGAAATATATAATGGATATAGATGATATCAATGTTACGACCACTGAATCCACATCACTGACTTATCTTATTTTCAAAGGCATCCACATCAGAGGAAGAACATTGTAGTAAGGTGTTTTCAAAAAGATGACATTTGTGTATAGAACTGAATTAAAATTTAATATTTGACCTTGACTGTTATGATCATTTACAGATCAAGGTCACTCAAGTTCCTTTTTTCAAAGTACAAATCAAATCTGTTCATAAATAACACAGATGTAGCAAATGGAACAAATTTCAACAACTTTGCCATGACAGTCTTGGTCACTTTAAGGTCATGTTCAAATTTAAATAATTCAAGCTGTGGGTGTGGAAATCGCTGTTGTTCTGTACAGGTATGAATCAAATCGACCCAAAATTTAAAAGGGGTCTTCTACTAACCAAGATCAATGCACCTGTGATGTCTGAGCCCACGAACCCATTGATTGTCAGTTACTGGTAAAAAACGCAAAATGTGACCTTGACTTTTGACCCTGGGACCTGTGAAGTTTAAGGGCTAAAGACCAGTGGATTGTTGAGTTAACTGGTCAGAAACTGTTCTGATATACAATATCAATGTGACCATGACCTTTTACACAGCTACACCAGTCATTTCGGGTAATCTTCTGTCCAAGACCAATGCACCTGTGGGCCAAGGGCCCATGTGTCAAGTTGTCAGAAAATGTTTGACATATAAGGTCAATGTGACCTTGACCCTTGATCAAGGGCCAATGGGTTGTCAAGTTATTTGTCAGAAACTATTCTGACATAAAAGGACAATATGACCTTGTACCCTTGACACCATAATAGGTTCAACTACACACCAAGAATAATGCACCTGTAAAGTTTGAGAGCCAAGGGCCTATGGATTGTTGAGGGATTGGTTTGAAACCGTCTTACATACAGTCACTGTGACCTTGACCCTTTGATCCCAAAATCAATAGGGGTCATTTACTTGTCAAGATCAATGTACCTGTGAAGTGAGGACCAAGGGCCCATGGGTTGTTGAGTTATTGTTTGGTAACCATTTTTATATAAAAGGTCTGTACCCTTGACCTTTGGCCTGAAAATCAATAGGGGACATCTGTTTAGTAAGAGCAATGCACCTGTGAGGTTTGAAGGTGAAGGGGCCATGTTGTTTTGAGTTATTACTCTGAAACCTTTTGATGTAAAAAGCCAATGTGACCTTGACCTAGTGACCCCAAAACAATAGGGTTCACCAAGGCTACTTGTCATGACCGATCACTTTCCTAAGTTTAAAATTCCTAGTCCCAGGCGTTTTAAAGTTATTGACCGGAAACAGGTTTGTCTACCAAAGGACTGATGAATGACCAACGGACTGGCCAACATGTGCAAAGCAATATACCCCAACTTCTTTGAAGGGGGGCATAAAAAGGTAAAACCAACTTCTATTTCCCAACCCACTTTGTATGTATATGTTCAATAAAATACATTAATAAAGATATGGCTGAGTGACAAAATTTAAATTTATTTACAAAACTGAAGAGGAAGTGTTATTGTCTTGGAAATCTTAGATGTTTTCTGTGAATTAGGTGAAATGAATATCCCCTCCAAAAATTGTGCATATGCATTTTCTTATATGAAACTTGCTGCTGGCTGACAGAGATAAGATGACCTTCTAAACAGGCCAGTTGAAGTAAACCAAGCTGGTGTGCAGCACTACAGGTACTTAAACCAATCTAGTTGCTCAACTAAACAGAAGGTCAGACAGATAACCCTTGTAAAAGTTTCTTTGGCCATATGCTGAATACTAATTTCTTCCAAATCTGTTGCCTATAGTTTGACAGAAATAAAGAAACAAAATAATTTCTATGTTACATTAAATTGATCTAACTTTTTTTATTAAACATATGAGCAAATAGAATACTATAACAACAGTTGTTGTTTTGATATTACATTAAACATGTATATGTTGTCATCATTCTGCATATTGTCCTCTGGAAGGCTGAAATATGATATTTTTAAATACTTGTAGAAACTAAAGCAAGTAAGTTAATTTTCAATGATTTACCAAAACATTTATCATTTGTAACAGACAACGTAAAAAAAATGCAAGAAATCACTATATTCCTTATAACTTGTTCTTTGAAAATTATGAATTTAGTTTAGAAACTATATCATTAGCTTTGGTTCAATACAAGCAAGTAAAGTTATTTCTATATAAAAATCTCTAGGAACACTTCATATTTCTTTGAATATAAACTTATCCTTCTTTTTAATTATTGACTTGTAGCCTCTTTTTGGATCAGTCAATTCAACTCTCTTTCCTTTTGGTTTTAGAAAATGATCAGGTAAATCATTCATGAATCTGTCAAATGTTGTCATATTTTTCCGGCCTTTCAATATTCTTCTGAACAAAATTTCACGCTGACTTGGTTGACTGAGTCTTTTCTCTAAGCCATGTTTTCGCATACGTTTTAATGCGCTTGGTCTGTAATACACTCGATAATTGGCTCTTGACTGAGATGATGTATGAAAACCTTTATTAAGAACTGAATTTTCAATATAATTCATGCTCTTGACTGGACCCAGGTGAACATTGTCTGAACAGCATTTTTGGTTAAACAACACTGATTGCACGCTGCTTTTTGTGGAATTCAAAGTACTGTATCCTCTGGAAAATAGTTTCTCTGAAAGTCCCAGTCTGAAATAAAAGATTTTTTAAGAATCAATATGGTGAACACATTTAAACAATACTCATTTATACCCTGTCTCCTTCCACAATGAACTTTACTACAGAACTGGTTGAACTTATCATTACACTACAGTATTTAAATATCATTTTCTGATACAATCATTTTCAACTGACAGAGAATTTATTTAACAATTATAACAGTAATTATGTCATACATTGATACAATGTACATGGTGTTAACAATAACTATCAACAATCTGCCAGGGTATGAATAAAGTGTACGGTCAGAATGGGTCTTACAACAGCTTTCTTAATACAACATTCAACGTCACTTGGACATTATTATTTATATAACTATTCTTTATACTTCAAATTAACAGTTGGAGAAAAATTTTAATTTACAAGTAACCTTCAGTACACTTAAGGGCTATAACAAAAATAATCAGTCCCTGCTGTGGAAGAATTTAATAGGTTGTTTTTTTTGTTAAAGTGAGGTGTTTCGAATAAAATGTCATAAGGGGTTCATTTTTGGTCTAGGATGTTATGACATGTATTCTTTCAAGTTCAAAAAGGCCAAAATTCAGTCAAAATCCATGTCAGAATTATGGGCCTTGGAAAGTGACATCTGGTTACGATCCAAAAGATTGGTGATGCATGTTAAACTTTAACTTTGAATTTTTTAAGTTGATAAAGGGCCATAATTCAGTCAAAACCCACTCTAAAGATATATGGCCCAAAGATAGTGACTTCCAATTATGATGCTGAAAACTTGTATTTACTATTAAGTTTCCAATGAATACCTTCAGTAGCTTTAAAGATTAATTTTGCATGCAAAATTGTAACCAAGAATCATGTTCTGATATAAGTGTGTGAAATTACAACTAATACAAGCAAATATCATAAGTGGTTGATGAGAAATGATGTTGTTTGCAAAACTTTAACCAAAGTGTGATGCCAACTCCAACACAATGCAAGGGTGAGTAGGGTAGCCCTTACTATTCTTCGAACACTAAAAACTGATCTTTTTTCCAGTATATACATGAAAGAACAACATTTTTTTGAGAATTTTTTTTTAGAAAAGGTTGTCATGGTGATTATTGAAATGCATACATGTGACAAATGAAATGGGCCAAATCTGGATTTTCAGCTGGATTTTGAGGCTCAAAACTGGATTTTTTTATCGACTTGAATTTCAATGCGTGTTTGGCACATTTGGTTCAAAGAATCTATATTACCCTCAAAATCATTAAATGGTTATACTTTTTATGATTTTTTTGTGGATCAATATTAATTTATTTCACCAAAAAATAAATAAATAGATAAATAAATAAGTGTAGTCATACAGGCTATTTCAAAACAGTCACATTTTCACATTTCATTATTTTCAGTTTGAAGAATTATATCTGTCTTTTCAGTCATTCAATAATTTAATGTACAACAACTATTCATGAACAGTTAAATAACGTAACATAAGTAGAAGACTCGAAATAAATGCAAGAATCGTTCCGTTAATTAAATCCACATTTTTGCCTCGATGATAGTGTAATTCCTAAACAAAACAAAAAAATTACCCAATCACAAAAAATAGGTTAATTATTAGACATCTCGAACAGGTTTTTGAATGATCCACTTTAAATGATTCTGCTCACCTTTTATCTTTATCAGTGCGGCACTAATCAAAGAAAATCAAAGGTTGAGCCGAATTCATACATGTAAATTTACAGGGTAGTTTTGATGACGTAGCGTGTAATACCTACTGCCAAATTACAAGAGGTCAATTGACTGACACACGACATGTGATAAGTTAAACATGTGAGAATAACTTTGGGTATAGGAATTGTTTATTACGTCACCTTGCTGTCAATTAGTGACTCAACATTTAATCTGCTATAATTTAGGACAGATAACAATCAATGCCTGGAGGCACGGTTTACATTTTAGATACAGGTGCTGTGTTTGATTTTTTTAATGTTGAATTTTTTTAAATATCGGGAATTCAAGCTGTAATATCGGGAATCGGGATCAGTGTTGAAATATCGGGATTTTTTTAAATCCCGCCGGGATGTCACATGTATGGAAATGGGGTGAATTATCACTGAACTGGAGCGAATAGTTATCAGTTTTAATACTGATACCCAATGAGTTAAATTGAGCAATTTATCTCATTAAGAAAAATAAATTAAAATGCCTGATTTTTCAAACATATACCAACACTTACATTTACTTTACTTATTTAATCTGAATGATTTATAGTATGTTTCATGTTTTTTTAAGCAGTGAAAATGGTCAATAATCTGAGTTCTAAAGTTGGCTATCCACCTAATATTACCAATGCAGGCGCCAATAAATCCCTGAAAATACAGGGCCTGAAAATACACTCAGTCAATACACATGGATTGATAAATTCATTTAATTGTTGAATAAAGATGGATTCTGTAACAAAGAAATCTCATCTCTTATGGAGTTAGGGTCATAAGATCATCTAATAGCAAGTAATAGACATTGTACATATATGATATTTATATTCTTTAAAACTGCTAAATTTTAAGCCCCCATTATTCATTATTCTTTTTATACATTTACATGTATGATTATATAATTATATGTCATCAAAACTAAGTCATAATTTCTGGAAAACAAGATAAATCAAAAGAATTTAAAATGTTCCTATTACAAATGGCCTTTGACCTTATGCTCCGCTCGGAGCGAAGAGGGTAGGAGGAGCTATTAGTATTACGAATGGTAACATGCGTTAGTGCAGTCTGTTTACTTTCAATTATGAAGACCACTAATATAAGTAACAAGTCCATACACTGGAAAAAACCCACTTTGTGTGTATGATAATCCCTAATATTTTTGTATTAAGAATATCAGAATCAGGATAAATAATAATCAAATTAAAGAAGCTTTAATTAGTATTAATTTTTTTTTCTTGTAGGGTCTACTTGTTTTCTTTGTACTTGTTTCTAAGAAATTTTTATGATGTACAACATGTACATGTATGTATAAATGTATACTATTTACAAATCAAAGAAATAGACGATTTGTTCTCTCAGCAAATTGAATTGTGTTATTTAACTGTTTACAACTTTCTCATCAGATTGATATAAATGGTCAAACAACCATAGCTTTTATGAAGCAAATTTTGAAAACTTTTATGAAAAGTATCTTAGCAATATATCACCTTAACCAATGTCACAAAAATGCCTTTAAAACAATGTCAATTGAATCCCTCGTACTGTAAAATATTAAATTGCTTATTATGAATTACTTGCATCCGAATATTCATTATCCGAAATATCATAGATTTAGCAAATTTTAACTATGGAAATAAATGTTACGCAACAATAAATCATTTTTATGGGAGAAAATTATCTTCAGATTCAATTTCCAATTTTAAAGAACAGAAAATCGTACATCTTCATGCTGTGGAATTTAAACAGCATCTGAGAAAACATCTTTGAGGTCAAACACGGCGCACACCCAGAGTTATCTTTCTTTTCCGATACTCTTCTTGAAGGAGAAATTAGCAATGGAATGGAATGAATGAAAACATTGATTTTAATGTAATAATTTATCGACTCTCTAAATGTTTGCTAATATGTATATCCTTAATTCAACGTTTGAATTAAGGTTCGACAGAAACCATACCTTTCATGTCAAGTTCAGATCTCGAATTTGCAAGTCCATGATTTATTGGATTATGGTTTCCTTGACATTTATGTAAACAAATGTTATTTTTGACAAAAAAATCCATTATGTCTTCCTAATTCGTATTTACATTTCTTTCCCCAATACTGTAACGTGTTATCATTTGAAATAAAACTTTCTAAATACAAATGTTATCTTGAAGTAAGTTGAATCAGCATTAATTATGCCCCCATCAGTGGTAAACCTCAGAATAGAATGTTACATGTATCTTACTTAGATTTTGAAACCCCAAGTTAAAGCCCTACTGTAGGGATAATCAGATGGTTTACTTTTATCCTTGCGAAATGCCTGCATGGTGCAGAATGAACATATATTAAAACCACTGCATTGACCAAGCATTTATTTGATGATCCAACTAATTGCCCAATGGCTCGGGGTCTGAGGCTTTCAAATGACTGACCAGTGCATATATAATGTAATTGATGTAGCTAAAGAGATTTCAGTGAACAGGTTTTATAGTACTGCTAGACCTGTTACTATTGCACAACGTCAAAATAAAAGCGACATAAAGTCACATATAGTTATGGAAGCCAGAACTAATAATGATGATAGTTAAGAGGTTAATACACGGCAGAAATATTTAAGTGTATATACATGGCAGTGTAGGGCTGAAAGATTATAATCAGCCTGCAAAATGAATGATGGCTTAAGGGCATTATTCATTTCATGACTGATTATCAATTTCCAGCTTGTCTATGATGTGTAAAATTTTGTGCACAGATTTATGTAATTTTTTTCTGCTTTATTACTCTACAGTAATGAACAAGGATGTGTTTTACTGATATTTTCTTTGAATTTATAAAAGCTACATTTAAATGTAATAAAATTTAATTTTCAGGAAAGATAAGCTGTGAGAAAGGGGCTCTTTATGAGGATGGCAAATGGAGGGAGGCAATCCAGGAATTCTCGGCGCATTGCTCCAGAACCAGATTCCTACAGTAGTGTTATCGAAATAAGACCAAATAGGCATTTAAGAATTAAGCGATTAAATCCAAAGGAAAGAGATGAAAAGTTTGAAAAGGAAATGCAAGCATACCTTCAGTATAGGGAAATTGGGGCCTTAAGTTCTGGTGTTGCTTTGCCACCACATCTGCTAAGCAGAAGACAAGCCAAAAATGAAGGTCAGTCAAAATTGGCCAAGTCTGAGACACATGCTCATGTAGCCCCACATGAAGTCAATGAAAGAGAGAGGTCTGATCATTTGAATACGTCACATGGAAAAATTCAGTTACATTCTCCTTCGCGAAATTCTCTGTTATCACAAGAAGCACAGTCTATTTCAGGGGTCCATGTTGCAGTTCAAAGACCATCATCTGAAGTGCTTCCCCTTGGTCAGTTAGGGGAGAGTAGTCTCGAATTAGATGAAGACAGTCAGATACATTCTCCTCAAAAAAGTGCTAAATCTCCTCGTAAAACAAAAGATCATAGACCTGTTAGTGCTAGAAGTTTTAAAAAAGGAGCAAGGTCTCTAACAGGGCCTGATGTTACTGACACATTATCAAATCTCCCTGATATGGATCATACATCAGTTACACATCTTGACTCTTCTTTCAAAGATGTAACTTTGTTTTTTATACATGGTGTAGGAGGTTCAGCTGATATTTGGAATGCTCAGTTAACTTTCTTCGCCAGCCTAGGAGTAGAAGTTATAGCTCCAGATTTGATAGGTATTCAATGTATATCTTTCTTTTAACACATTGAAAGGAAACAATAACCAAAAGCTTGATGTAAAATAGTAACTAACTTATTGTCATATGAGTTAAATCTGTTTTGCACTTAGCAAACAAATAGGTTGTTAAATTGTCTGGGTTTTATTTGTTTGTTTTTTTGAAGCCATTCAAAATTAGTAGTACTGATGCTTTTAAACAACTCAATTAATAAAAAGTCTCCTCTGGGACCAAAATTATGTCCCTGTCTCCTTTGAAAAGTTTTAAATATTTTCTAGGAAAATATCTGAAAAGTTTTTACTACATGTATGTATTTTCTTGGCAAATATCTAATATTGTAATGATTTCACATATTTCTGTACAAGGCTACTAGTAATGTTAAGATGTTATTTGTTATACAGGTCATGGATTAAGCTGTAGTCCAGACATAGCAAGAGCATACCATTTCAATGAGATTCTTAATGATGTAGAACATATATTTGACAAGTACTGTAAACGACAAAATGTAGTTATTGGACATTCATATGGGTATGTTACAAATGGATTCAAGTTTTGCTCATTTCATTGAACTTTTTCAACAAATATATAGTCAGAAATCAAACGTATTTGAAAAGCAATCTACATGTATTTCAAGAACTTATGTGTATGTACCTGTCATTGAAGTTTTGAATTATGCTACAAGAGTAATTGTGTATTAAAGTGATAAACTGTCAGTTGAACTGGCATCAAATGTTATGATATGAATTAAACAGATTCTTTTCTTTTGCCTTCCATGTGTTTGGTGTTACATGTACATGTATTTGTTTTCTTTTTTCATCAAAATTATGTTAAATTGCCATTTCATTTACTTGGTATAATTATTTTATCATGCCTTGGCATACTATATGAAGAACATAAACAAAATGTGTAGAATTTTCTCTTATGAAAAATTGTGTCCATTGTATAAAGTGACCTAAGGATTATGCTAGCAGAGTAGTTTAGGTTATTGCTTTGAAGTGCTTGACTCTCATTGCTGCATGTTTGATTCTCACCAGAGTCATGGAATTCTTTCTTATAAGGATGTTATCGTGATAGCTTTGTGGCAGATCAATGTTTCTGATTTTATGTTTTTTTTATCTACCTAATGTGAGGCACTACTAAGGCTTTCCTCTATCAATATAGCAGCAAAATTGCAATATGACCTTCTCTTTAATAATAGATGTTACTTAATATTCAAAACGAAAATGAAAATTCCATGACTTTTTTTAAATGTAATCATGTGTATTTTATCTTGTTATAATTTTAAGTGATAAATAACTGTAAATTTCAGATGTGCTTTTGCCGCAGCTCTAGGTAGACGGAGGGCACGAAGGGTATCAAAGCTGGTGTTGATTAGTGGAGGAGCCCCTATACCCCTCGCTCCTCAACCTGGTGTGTTCTCCCTACCATCTTGTATGTTGTCCTGTCTTAAACCATGTATCTTCTCCAAGTTTGAGAGGTTTGTAAATTAAAAGATTTGTGTTTACTTGTACACCCTCATGTTAGAGTGATGATGAATATAAGATATTTATAGTTTATAAAACAGGCAAATATAGAAATTAGTGCAGACAATACTCAAATAATTTATTCCATTTTTTAGATACATGTAATTAGAGAAACAGCTTTTTTCCAATCAAACTCTTCTTTTATTTGTCATGTTGCTTTTCGTATAAAAAAGTTTAATTTTCCTTTTTATCAACAAAGCAAAGAGATTTTATTTTGTACTAGATGCTTATAAGAATTTATCAAACAAGTGTGAAATTTTATCAGATGTTTTTTTAATGATTGTAGAAATGCATTCCACAATACTAAATTGAGTGGGTTATCTAGGGAGCAGGCTTTTGACTTGCCAGTTTATGTCCTAAGTCACATGATGAAGGGACAGGATTGGTTAGACGGTGATGAGCTTTACCATCAGTGGTTGACGGCACCAACTCTACTGTTACACGGGAAATATGACAAGTTTGTTTCTGTCCAGGAAGAGCAAGAGATGGAACAGGTAAATTGTTGAAAAAAATTCAGCTAGCTTATGTATGGTTGATGGTTCTTCTCAGATGACCATTCATTCCTGAAATAATGAAAGATTGGATAGCTGAGGCCTTCTTTTACCAGTAAAGATGAAAGTCACCATGTGACCTTCATAGTAGCAGTGTGACTTTAAACCAAACCAAAAAAGAAATGCCTAACCACTTTGTACTCTTGGTAACATTTTTACTATGAAGAACACTTAAGTAGCAGCATGGCTGAGTGAAAAATGCATTCATTTAGTAATCTAACAGTCGCTAGCTGCATGGGTTCAAACCCCGTCTTGGTCAAGTTCTTGTTTCATGAGCAAGAGCAATAGTTGGTTTCAGGAACAGATTAGAAAGTGTGTCTACAGGCTTATAGATTCCTACACAAACTTAAATAAATTGTGTATAAACCAAGAACACTATCTGGAAGCTTGCTTTTAAATCATGTAATAAAAGACATTTACAAAAAGATGTTTAGTCATCTAAGAAAATTATATGCATTTGCAGAGGATTTTTTTTTTAAATGCAATCTAGACATTATTAAATATCATGTTATTCTACATAACAAAAAAAAGTGGACAATTCACAAAATACATGGTTTTACTTGTATTTTTCAGGCAATATATTACTCCACATTGGTTCTTGTTGACAATGCGAGTCACATGGTCATGATGGAAGCTCCTAAAAAAGTCAATCAAGTCATGTACGAGTTTATTTTCCAAGAAAATTATGAGCCACTAGAAACTGACAGACCTAAAACAAGACTATCAAGTGCCAAATCTTCCAGATCAATACGACACCGCATATCTAAACAATTAGCTTAAACAGACTTGTGTATCAGTGCTCCCTGTAGGCACCAGTGATAACTACAGCAGGAAGAATTGCTAGGTTTTATAATCAAACCATGATAACTAAAATGCTTGAATCCATCACATGCTGAATATCTGAAATAGATTTGTCCAGATCTCTTTTTTTTTTAACTTTCCATTATCAGTTTTTGGGATGCCAAGATGAAATATTAAAGTCGGTCAGCCAACAGTATAGAATCTTGTCAGACTGTATAGAAGTGCAAGCTTGCCAGGTTCTATACTGACGACAAAGGGAAGTCATTTTTAGTCCCAGCAAGTTAAGGAATAAAGCAAGTCATTATTGTTGGCTTTTTAAAAATCTCCACTGATATCTTTATATATAACAGAGAGCACTGATTTATGTATATCCGGGTATAAAAGAGGACAATCAGCTATAAAGTTTTGGCTTTCTTCTTGCTAGTTTTGCTACTTTAAGCTATCTCGCTACTTTAAGCTACTGGATTTCAGTGTCCAAACAAATCATTACACAATCTTAAACCAGTGAAAGGGTTGGCAGCAAGATAAAGTCAGACATAAATATGTTATATCAATATCATAACTTTTTGATTATTTTCAGTACATATTTTGAAACTTAAATTCCCTAAAAATATTGCATGGTTTAGTCCAGATTGAAAGATGGAAAAGTCCATTTAAGAGGGATAAGGGTTAAAAATAGTCTAGGAAAGTGTTATACAAGGTTTATAACATTTCTCAGACTTAACTTACAATCTACAGGAATTTTTTGTCATTTAATGTTGGATTCTTTTATTTTCATGATATTATAAAAGCAGCAAATGTCAAAATAACATCAGAATCATTATTTGACAGTCCATGTTTTTTTTGTATCAAAAGTGTGTAATGTTAAGAAATATATAATGTTTTTACATGTATATCATGAAGTAATTTTTCATGACAGCCAAATACCAAAACCAATGGGAAAAATCCACTTTTTGACAAATCTATTCAACAAAAGCCAATTAGAATATTTGATTTGTAAAACACACAATAAAGTACTTTGCTAATTCATCGTGTAAACAACAATGCTGTGTATTGTCTAAATATCTGTGTGCTATTTTATGTTCATAATTCTCACTGGATACTAGTATATTCTACCAACCTACTCCTTCATTGTCTTTCAAGCCATGACATTCATATTAAACACTTATTTTTTTTATGTTTTACACATCTGTGTACATGTATATATCCTCATACTAAAATCTAAACAATGTTAATGCCTTTCCTCCCACACACAAACCCCTCCCCCCCACACCCACACCCACAAAACACACCCCACACACTTGTATATATTACCTTATTAAGTTATTATATATAAAAAGAGATGTGATATGTCAGTATAAAGTAATATAGGGTGTCAGTTGTAATTGGTAAGTTTAATATTTTTATACAACCTCGGAAATGTTTCAATCATATTATTTCCAGATCTCTTTGTTCATATGTTAAGAATTTTTAGCACAAAATGTCTGCGGTGTTAAACCCACATGATTTGATTATGAAAGACAAGAGGGAAATGTTCCTTCAACAAAGTATTGCTTTATTTCTAGTTTTAGTGATGAATTTGCACTTGCAACACTTGTCTGATCATAAAATTACAAATATTATTCTTTCAATTTAAGGTACTACTTAAAATATACAACCAGACAATCAAACATTATCAGACTGCCCAATATATATTTATACCCTTTCATGTCCTGTTGTAGATAATTGAGCCACGCCATGACAAAACCAACATAATGCGTTTGTGACCAGCATGGATCCAGACCAGCCTGCGAATCTGCGCAGTCTGATCAGGATCCATGCTGTTCGCTTACAAACCCTATTACAAGTAGAGAAACTGATAGCGAACAGCATGGATCCTGATCAGACTGCGCGGATGCGCAGACTGGTCTGGATCCATGCTGGTCGCAAAAACGCATTATGTTGGTTTTGTCATGGCGTGGCTCAATTATATTTTATACTTTATACATTCCATCTCTGTTTAGGCTTTTTGTCTGTGATATTTTTACATATCTACACATTACTTGTGTATACACGTGGCAATTAATATTTTTTTATAAAGATTATATTTTATTTATAAAAGATCTTATACTTTGAGCAACATGTCAGTCATTTTGGCCATATATATTATATTATGGTTCTGAATTCCAAATAAAGGGTAGTTAGGAACCTTAGGCACTAATTGAGATATCTTGAATGTGTTACACAGTGATGAGCAACTTTAAACTGTACTTGTATAATTTATTCTTGTACGATTTATTTTTTGTATGATTTTATATCTCACACCATTAAAGACTATTTACTTGTATACGGGTCACAAATATAAGATATAACATCAGTTGTCATTTCTGATAGGACAGAAATTAAATAATTCCTGGACAGGTTTTTAAGCGAGTCAGTGGCAAGTTATTGTGAAAAACATAATCTTTGTCACTCCCAGGCTATTTTAAAATTAAGTACATGTAATATAAAAAAGAGTAATTATATACCGATATATTATATTGAAAACAAGAAATATCATAAGATAAAATATACAGAAAGGATCACAGAGTTTTATGTGTCATGAAACTATATTTGACAGTACAGGAAGTGTATTTTTCAATTGAAAGGCCGATAGACTTTCTTTTTTTGCAAAGTCAAAAATGTGTATGTTCTTGTGTATAACGAAACTGTTTAATTTATTGTTTACTGGAAATCCTCTTAATAATAAATAATTTGCTAGATTCATAAGACCATCAAAAATACACTTATGAGATACACTAATTATGTTATATTTTTTACAAAGAAAAAAATAGCAACTGTCTAAGGCAATAGTAATGATCATTTAAACATTTTTTGGGCTTTTTCCATAGAAATGGCATAGTAGAGCATATTATTTTAGCCTTGTACGAGTTGTTTAACATGTTGTGTGCATAACCTTCTCAGATAACAGCATATATCATGCTATGTTGTATCAACTTCATTGTATCTAATGAAATATCTTTATGACAAGTTTGTTTATGATATCCTTTATAAGAGATATAATAAACAATCATTTTCTCTATCAAAACAATGGCCAAGATTCACATATATTAAATGAGCTCTTCCATGAAGCAGTAAGTCATTCTGTCATCCTTATTATTCAGTGTTATGTCCAGTAATGTTAAAATATTACCCGACTCTCTTTTTTAAACATTCTAAATTGTGTGAAGCTATTTTACATCTTAAACTATTTAGTTTTCACAGGGTAACATAGCAAAGTGTTAATTAGCAGCTGATTACTGGTATCATATAAAGATTTTATTTGTTTGTTATTATTTTTTATATATGAAATAAAAAGAGCTGTTTTCATGGTAACGTGGATAAGATGTCTTTACTAGTCTTTTAAGAATATAAATGTGCTTTTATTAAGTTATAGTTACACTGTCACTAGTTAAGACATGTTTTATTTAGTCTGTGTGCACTTTTTTTTGTATATTTATTCTTTGTTACTTAGTTTATTTTTGACTACTTCACAGAAAACAAAATATGGAAGCTACATATTTGTTTGTTATTTCTGATTATCACACAAAAAAAAGTGTGTAAATGGGAAAAAAAAAATGAAAAAGCTTTGGCATACCGATACTTTAAAGAGCAAAATATTTAGTGAACTTTTGCTTGATTATGTCGGGTAAAGTTATTAGCTCTTTGTGTGCAGCAGGTGTTTATAACTTACTTTTGCCATTATTGTTCTGGACTTGGGCATGGTCAGGCCATAGGGTACATTAAGTTTTGGACCAGGGAACCCGAGTTTCAATCATTTGTGAGCACCCAAAACTATAGCCCACTTGTTGATTAGTAATATGAATTTATTTTAGTTTGATTGAATTGGAAGCTTTCAGCTTACTGAAACAATTATAAATCTGTTCCTGGAACATACCAGTACTAAACAACGAGTGTAACATTTCTTGCTCACAGAAACAACGCCTTAACCTTGACAGGGTTTGAACCGACGCAGCCAGCAATCCTTAGATTACTAGTCTGAAGTGTTTATCACTTGGCCATCCTGCCTCTTGTCATATGTAGATTACTTTGTAACAAATAATTTCCTTTTAAAGAAGTGAGATTGGAGACACCTAACTTTTTTTCGCTCATCATATTCTAACAACATGCAAAGTTTAAAGAAATTCTATTGAACCGGTTTAATTCTGCTATTATGTCTATATGAAAACTACGGAAAACATCCTTAAATACACTACATTTTTCCATTCAATGACGCCATGTTTAGAACCTGCTTCACATCAAACTGACCTGATTTTACTAAATCTGCAACATGATGAATCATTTTACCATTTTCTTTTATTACAGATTGTTAAGCACAAATCAAAGGTGTGCATTAGTTTTTATTTGTTTGGGTCGTCAGACCAAACAAATAATGGTAGTGAAATTTCAGTTAATGCTGTTTATTGCAAATGCCGAAAGTAGTCCGCTTTTTTTGAAGCGGTTACTTCCCTTTATATGTACACTAACGCCGAAAAATTCAGGGGTGATCACTGCGTAAAGATGGTCAAATGACAGGCGCATTAATTTCAAGCAAAATAATTCCCAAATGGTAGAAGATTTCTAATATTGTTTTATTCTTTATAGATATACATGCTTATAGTTAGCTCCATGATTATTACATCTGTGTTAAACAACAGTTAGCATCGTTACAAACCCTATATTAGAATAATATGGTTTTCTTCAGGCTGTTAACATATAAATTCACCGTGGCCGAGGGGTTTGCGTGCTTGCTTAGGAAGCGAGAGGTCTCGAGTTCAAATCCCAATTAAGGCAGTTCATTTTTTTTAAATTGTTTAAGTCAAATAAACATCGGATTGAATATCAGTGCAGTGTTGCAATTAGTCTTAGCCAATTTACTACAATTAAAACGCTGGAAAGCATTGGTGGCACTATAAAAAGCAAATTGGTTTATAATCTCACAACCTGCACCTTTCTTACATTCTGAGACCCAAACAAATTCAGCGCCTTCTGTGCTTTGATTTACTTGGGTTATCCATTTATTCAATATCCTACAAAAAGATTTAAGACATATACAGTGCACAAATTTGCTAATAGGCAAATCTGAGTGAAACATAATACAAATATACATTTATTCAGCTGTACAAAAATTTATTTCACTGGCTGATAAATTTTTAAACTAGATCTATACATTTCTACGGTGATTTAATGATGACAGACAGAAGCAGGAATATCTATCTGTTCTGTCTGATTTGCTTAGTACTTGTATTAACTTTCAAATGCAACAAAGGAAATTTTTTTTTTCTTTATTTAAAAAACATATTCATTTTCAGCAAGAAAGACAACACAATTAAAATGAATTTAAATTTATTGAACATATTTCATATGAAGGTATTTAAGTATTAAATCAAGATAGTGATGACAACAACAAATTTTCATGCATGTTATTTATGGTGTTTAACTCACTACAAGTCTTGATGCGGCACCCCTCTAGATCCCTGTAAATTTTATGAAAATGTAAAAATTGTTCTAATTCTTCACATAAACCATTTGAAAAAGTATTGGTATAGAAACCAGTATTATTTTATTGTTCTTTATTGTATTTCATCTCAGAAAAAAAATCCTTTTTCTTTTGACAACATTTGGATGCAAAATATTTAAGATGAAGTGCAAAACATATCCTTTTTAATATATTCAACACAGCTAGGGCGTTCTACCATAACACCTTAACCTGCTGAAATTGCCCAGTTTAAAATTCAAAGTTTAAGGGATTTCAATATTAAATTACAAAAATATTTTTCATAAAATATCTTTTATAAAGCTATTTCAGCTGTTTAGAATCAACAGAAATCACGTTTGTATCTTAAAGCTGCATGCCTCCAAATCAAGTCAAAATACATGTATTTCAAGAAAATGAAACATGAGAAAAAAGTACTAAAATTTCAAGAAACATGAAAAGATTCAAGACTTGAGTAATTATTTACATGTTATGTATGATTAACAACTGCTTTTGCAGGATTGATCATAAAAATTTATTCTGCATGACTAATGCAGTAAGGGCTATTTATGCATATTTTCACCCCTTTATCGTAATTTACATGGACTTTAATGGACCTTTCCAGTGTTTACAGTTTTACCTAAATTGGCTAACTTGTTATCCAATTGCTACACTGAGATAATACATAGTCACTGGTTAACCTGGTTTGCACAAAAGAACACATGGTTATGTTTGTGATTCTGTTTGTGATCAGTTGACCTAGCAAAGAATGGAAAAGGTGTGGCTAAATGTTCCGCTTAGAAAAACCGGAAAGGTCCGTATGTGCTATTTGCTATATGCTAATGACTTTCTTTGTTCTCACAATATTTTACTTTTAAATACAGGTTTAAGATTTTCATGAAAATTAGCATGGATCTAGAGACAGGCAGCTGTAATAAATTCTTGATTAAATTTGAAAATTTCAGATAAACCTTGCACTTATACATGTACTATTCACAACTGTAGATGCATATTGTGTTAAAAACATTTACGATTCTACTTTCTTATTTACTGTAACTGATATGTTAAATAACAGACATTGTTTGTTAAGACTGTCTCTAGATATGACCATATATAAAAACAAAATGATACTTTCTACAGGTAAAAATTTAAACCATTTAGCCTGCTAGTGGTAAATGATTTTACCAATGCAACCAGTGTAGACCAATATCAGTTGGCACATCCAGGACATATTTTGAAATGTTAACCTAAGAATGATAATGGTTTAGTCCATAATGAATGATGGACAAGTTGACTTAAGATTATTTAACAAGATAAAGTACAGGATTTACTAAATTTAAGAAAGATATGACTTTTTTCTTTTTGGCACCTACACAGTATAGGTCATATGGTGACTGTCCAGCTTTACTGGTGGATGAAGACCTCCGGTGCCCTTCTGTACATTGTTTCCGGCGCAAATGGGCAACTGAGTAGAACCATCAGCATTCAGTAAAGTAGCTGGATAACTTTCTCACATGAAGAATCCAGACGATAGCGCTGCTCGAATCTACAGCGGTGAGAGGCAAGTGGTGTGAAGTCAACAACCTTAACAAGGACGCCCCCATGATATGACCATCATATATATTCTATCCCAAGTATTGATCCCTCTATGTATACTTACAGTTAATCAGTTAAATAATTGCTACCCTAATTTTGACCTTAACAGAATTAATTATTAGAAAATTTAACAAAATTACAATAACGTTTATGCTAGATATTTCACTTACACACATATACATATAATTTTATATATATTTATAAAAACAACAACAAAAATTGCACACAAAATAAAGCATGAAATAATATTCTAAAACTAAAAGCACTTCATAAACAAACATAACATGCACTTACAAACATAAAAGATACAATACCAATAAAATTTTCAAGCTTTAAACTAAAACAAAAAACTTAAAATGACATCCAAATATTACCGGTATACAAAAATAAACAATACTGTAAGATAAAAAAATAAACAACAAATTATATAGGAATACAAGTAATAACATTATTTACAAACAAAACTAGGCTTCTTTTACAAAGAAATGTTTAGAGAATGGAAAAAGACTTTGAAAATTTAGATTAATATCATCGAGAGATATCTATTGCATCTAACTTTAACTGATCATAAAAAACAAATTTCATTTATAATTTTTTTTCCAATGACTTACTTACATAGTGTATCTCTCCCTCATTTATAAGAGTTATATCTCTATTTTAATAAATAACATATGGTATAAAATTAATAAAAAATTATTAAAATTCAATTCTGGCTTTTCACTGACATTTATATAGAGGTTGTCAATGAATAGGTCGCTGGGAAAATAAACACAACCATTGTAGAAAAACAACCATTTTCAGGAAAAACTATTGATAGTAGCTAAAATTCAGTCATGATATATAAGTTTGAAATATCACAAAAGCTGTAAGCTTATTTTAACAATTCTTGGTTAGAATCTTGACTAACCAGTACTAGTGTCAACAGAGTAAACATGAATCATCAAGACCCCAGTTGTAGGGATTGAACTTATAATCTCTGATTTGCTTGGAAGATATCTTATCACTAGGCAACTGATTAAACAAAAATGTATAAATGACAGACAATGCAATATTATATAATGTACATTCAAATTTCATATGTAATAGTTAAAGAGAAGTCTTGTAATAAAAAATCAATGACAAACAAAATTGACACAAGAAATGACTTCATTTTATATTTTAATGGCAGCTATTGAATAAGATGAAATGATGGATATTTAATGAAATCAGGGGAAATCTCAAGTATTTATTCAAATACAACAAAAAACATTACAAATTCATAGTTATTCTAAACAACACATCTTAATCTCTGTTTCAGCTTGATTTTAAAACAGTTTCAAAACAAAACTATTGTTCGAAATTTGAAAACAACAATAAACATTAAAACAAATATTTAACAACAATTATTAAAAGAACACTGTCTTTAGCATGATTGACTTTTGCAAGTACTAAACAATGTAATAAGAATAGGTTTTCCAAAATTTGATATAGGGGCATGATTATATCAAAATCCATTACAGAGTTATACACTCATGCCTTAAAATGAGTGTGAATACATGTACTATTAATATGTACATTGTACTAGTATTAAATGTTTAAATCTGTATATTAAACTGAGATATAAAAGATGAAAAATTGGACGGTACAAACAACTAAAGCAGAAATGTGATACTGAAATAGCAACATCCAGGTCAATACAAATATTTATATGTATATATAATCATGATAATATTTGAAATATGGGAAAAATTAACAAACTTCGGATTTAATACTAACAGTAAAGTTATTCTAGGTACCTTATACAGTTTCTGATTTCATCAAGATTTCAAAAACTTTCAAAATGCAACTGTTTTTTTTAAAAATAAATTCCTCATTTTTTTTCAACAATGTTTACCGGTAAAACTGAGTTTCTGTTTCCTTGGCTTTACAAAAGATCATCCAATGAGTTTTATCCCCCTTTTATTTTATAATTGTGTCTACAAAAAAAAACTGCAATGAGGTCTTTTTTCTTTAAAACTCTTTCTCTAAGAAATCATGTGCATTGGATGTGTGCATTTTTAAACTTGAAACAGCATAATAGCATTGTTTTTAATGATTTAAGTATAAACACACTAACACAAGATGCATAATCACATGACTATTGTGATCTGTTCGGGAGGGAAAACTAATACTTAAAGACTTGTTCAGGTAGTATTTGTTTCATCAATTTTTTGATAGTTCAATATATGACTATCATATAACAGTCAACAAACAACAACTGTTCAGACATTTTTAACATTAATATAATGCAAATATCTTGATTACATTCATTCACAGTTCATCAATTTTTCTTTATGTCTAATGGAGCAATCTGTCTTTCACCTTCTGCAAGAAATATCTGCAATGCTTTCTGAAGAAGATATACTCCCATTTTCCGTCTTTCTTTCATGGAAAATGTCACTGACACACCGTAATAGTCACCTTTCTTCTGGTTAGTTAACTGCTTTAAACCTGTCAATATGTGTTTTAGAACTATTAATTTTATAATTTTGAAAAATAAAAACAAAACAATAACAAACAATTGTAGCAACAGAGACAAGAGCTCTGCATATAGGAGCATTCTACACCTCAAATTCAATAGGTATCATCTACTGACAATAGGCAATGTCCTTACCATGTTTCACAAACCAATGGTTATTCCATCTCAATTTATTGAGTGAAGAGGGATTTTACAATCCTGTGTCACTGGGACCTTGACCATTCACCTCTGACCTCAAAATCAAAGGGGGTCATCCATTGGTCATTAACATCCCCTCTTAGTATGAAGATGATACACTTAATAGTTATCGAGTTATTGAGTGGACAACAATGAAGCTAACTAAGGGATGGACAGACAGATTGATGAACAAGTACAACCACATTTGCCTTAAGGGTTATAACAAAGTCATAGATAAATATTTTCAGATTCAAATAAATCAAACAATAAATAAAAATATTGAGGAAAGCATATTGATGACGTCATTATAGCCTTTACTACATCAGCAAACATACAGTATCACTAGTACATGATCTACAGGTACAACACTCTGGTACTAATCTATAAAGAATATTACTTATATTTTCAACCATACAGTCTTATATACCTGCCTCTATGATAAACAGCAACTTCAATACATTTAGAACATTACATTTATAATATAAGTGGTACATGTCTCTAAAGATAAAACACTCCTGTACTAATGCATAAAATATTACCTATAGCATCAATCATACAAGCCTCCCTGGTATATGCCTCTACTGGTATAACACTCTGGAAACAATGTAGAGACACTACACCCATACTACTGTCCCATATCTCAATTATCTTCTCCACCTTCTTACTCATCTAAAGCAGAAAAACACAATTTTGTATGTCACAGATATCATGCACACAAAAATTTAGCCAGGAATTTTATAATGCCACAAAGGGCTATAATTAAGATAAAACCCATGCACGAGTAACGGGTCTTGGACAAGAACCTAAAATTATGATCCTACAGATATGTATTAACTTTCAACTGTCAAGTGAAAACCTTTAGCAGATGTGGACATAAATCTTGCGTACAAAACTTCAATCAGAAATTTTCAGATTTCAAGACTATAAATCACCACAGTTATGAATCTTGGACAGTAAAACATAATTCTTGTGAAAAGTTTGTGATTTTTACCTTGCTATGCTAAGACCTCCAAATCTTATCAATACCACAATATATCACAGTTTCAAAACACGTTTTTTTTTTAAATAAATAAATGAGCCGCGTCACGACAAAACCAACATAATGGGTTGCGCATGCGGATGCGCAGGCTGGTCTGGATCCATGCTGGTCGCAAACACATTATGTTGCTTTTGTTGTGACGCGGCTCAAATGCAAAAGCTACACTCACCTTGGTATTATTTTTCTTCTGATGTTTAATTGCTTCATAAAGATGACAATATGGCCTTGCCCTTTTTCCTTTCCCAATGTAGAAGATGGCAGAAATGAAGGTATGGAAAATATCCTGATCACCTTAAAAAGAAAAAGAAAACTTAACACACCAGTTTATAGTAACCTTAGCAATCAAACCATGTGAGAGTGTGGGAGATTTAAGTGGAAATGTACCATGTTTTTATCTTCTGTCTATCCCTGGTGAGTCAATGCACAATGTTTTGTTTTCTCCTCTCCATATGATAGGATGGGCCCTTTACCAGGGATATGATCATCAAAAAGTTAAAATCTCAGTAATTTTGTGCAACTGTTTTGGTCCAGTTAAAGTGCAGTTTGATCATAGAGAGCAGAGCACAATTAAATGCCAATTAAACTAAATAAGAACACAATAGAATGCCAATGAAGCTTCACAGCAATGCTTTGGTTGCCCATGCTCTTCTTCTTTTTTATCAATCTAACTGCGCTTTGTAATCTTACTGTAAACATTGCTATACAAATGCAGTGGAATCAAAGTATGTGATATTGTGTCAGAGGTATAAAGTTCTCTCATATTATTCAAACACATCATTAGCATGAAAAAATTCCATTTTCTAATAAGTGTACAACTTATATATAAATTAAAATTATACATCCAAGTTCTATCTGACTAAGAGATTTTAAAACTAGATATGTGTCCAAAGGAGAAGGTTGGCCTGCAATGTGACATTTTTGCTTATAAGTTCATCTTTAACAAGGGTGTTTGGAACAACTGTTGAAGGCATACGCCAAATATTTTATAATCCATCAAATAATAAGCTGGACACAATTTTGTACACACACACATGCTTACAGAGACTAAAAGCATTTATATCAATTTAGCCTTCAAACCATGTGAGAGTGTGGGCGATTTAGGTGGAAATGAACCTTGTTTTCATCTTCTGTCTATCCCTGGTGAGTCAATGCACAATGTTTTATTTTCTCTTCACCATATGATAGGAAGGGGCCCTTTACCAGGACTATGATCATCAACAAGTTAAAATCTCAGTAAAAGTTTACCTAAGATTATCAGACCCATTCCAAATGGCAAATATGCTTTTGCAAATCTTTAAAAAAAATTCTGTATCAAACTGAAATTCCCAATATCCAAACTGACAATTTTGCTGAAGTTCATTCAAGTCATGAAGTATCTTAACAGATAGACATTTTATTTTTTTGTTAGGCTTTGTTTGAATAAACAATGTCACACAATTCAAAATACGTCAAAAGACTATACTATGTCAAAAGAGCTTGAACGGACGTTTCAAAAGGTACTAAATGGCTGGGAAAAGGTCTGCATAATAATTATGTATATGGAGAAGTAAATGTTTTGTTCAGCTGATTTTCAAAGATAGTTTTAAGTAAAGACTTTAAATAAATTGACATACTCATATTGATAGCCCTGTTTGGAAGGTTTTTAGTGACTCTAGGATCAAGCAGTATATAGTTGAAGGAAGACTTGAGGGTACCCTCTCTCCATAGTCTCATTCTGTCAGGGTTTTGGAAGGCAGCAACCATTTTTGTTTCTATACCAGGCATGTCTGACATGTTCAGATTACCATTTAGTGCGAGCTGTAATTCTGCTGGATATTCTAAAATAGAATATGTAAAAATTCAAACAAACTGGAACTATATATCATGTAATAAGGAATTATATATCCTGATATATCATTGCTTATATAAATAGAAATTCTACAAATCTAAGATTAGTTTAATCAAGAAAACTTAATACATTTAAACACATAAATCTACATAATAATATTATACATTTTACAATGATATGGATCGACTGCTTAAATTAAGTCTGTAACATTCCGCAAAGAGATGACAAATTTACTGTTAAAGTCATATTTTGTTTTCAGACAATAACTTCCAGCTGTTAATCAAGATATTTAAAAATAGTATTATTATTTACCTGGAACCTTACCAGTTGTTTTCTTGCAGACTTTGTTATTGTCAAGTTTTCCCAATCTAGTCATGTATGCCTGCTTAGTTGTGTTTGTAATGGGCCCTGGGTCATCGCCATGATGAACGAGTTTTGAGCGCAGTGTCTTATCATCTATTTTTCTATCTGTTGCTTGGGAAACAATATTTGCCGCGTCTAAACAACCCTTAGCACTATCATTTGATTTGATCATTGCATTTTCTCTCCAATTATAAAGCACTGTATCCTCAGAGGAAAGGCTACAACAGTTTGACTTATTATCTGGATTTGCAAGGACATTGGAGTTTACACTAAACTGGCTGTCAACAGAACGCCTGCTTCCCTGACTCCCACAGACCGAGGGTAGATGTCGCTCCACTAATGTTATACCATTTTCTTTGTCTGTATATATATAATCTACAGTTGAGGCATTACTGTACATACTGCACATAGACTGACGGCCACAAAAACCTGTGTCCAGTAAATCATTCCTGCTTGGTGTTGTCTGTGCTAGCTTGTCCTGTTTACACTGTTGAATCTCTTTAAACAAATCATCAATGCTTTCTTTGCTATTCACATACTCTTTGCTACACTCACAATTATCTTTCATAACATCCTGTTCCTTTTTTAAAACACTATTACCTTTCACAGATAGAGCGTTTTTAACTGGCAAAGTTTCTCTTTTATCAAGAAAAGTTTCATCAAATGTACCTTCAAAATCTGTAAACAGTTGGGCATTATCCAATACATTCACAGTACTACTTATATGTGATACCATGGAGTCATCAATTCTTAACTGATTAAAAGCATTCTCATTCATATTCAAGTTTTTAGATTTCCCTTGCCTGTCATCATCTAAATGAGTATTATAAATCTGGCTTGTTAAACCGGTCACATCATGATCCTTTGAGGTTAAAATTCCCTGAGATTCAACATTTCTATCCCTCATTAACAAATTACCAGAACAGTGATGATCTACATCTTTATTTTCAAGTGTTTTCACATTTTTTTGGTTCTGTTTGGAATGTAAAGGTTCATTTTGATGTAACTGAGAACCCTTATCTCTGTCAAAAACTTTGTTTCGCTCGGCTAATAACCAGTTTCTTTTCCTACGACAATTTAAAGTTATATCAGCAGATTCTGGTAAAGTTTCTAGAATATCTGGCAATGATAAAGTCCTATGATCTTCTGTGTCTAGCATTTTATGATCAAACTTGTGCAGACCTTGTTTAATTACATCAGTATAATTATCATTGAGAGAAGCCCCCACTAAGTCATCAAGTTCTAACCCAAGTTTTTCACACGCAGCACAAACAGTTCCGTCCTTTATAAGCTTTTCTGCTATACCTCCACAAAAGTCACATTTTACATTTACATGTGACTGAATTTGAGATGCTGGCTGCCTTACACAATACTTAGCCCTTCTATGATGTCCAGTCTTTTCATTTCTAGAACAGTCTAGATCTAAACTGTTTTCAGACAAACTGATATGCCCATGACAATCTGCCTCAGCAGAAAAGTTTCCAGGCAAATGCTGAGAATGACTTTTTTCTGATATACTGCGAGTTTTGGGGTTTTCAACTTCTTGGAACAATCTTCTATGAGTTAAATGTGATTTCTTACAATCTTTGTCATAAATATATTTGGTATTTTTGATCACAGTATTTGTACAATGATCATAGAGAGGTGATAAATCTGTACTGGATAAACTGTCCCTCTCTGTCATGTTGGAATTAGTGCTCTGAAACAAGGAAACAAAGAATGTTCATATATAATAGCAAACTTTTAACTCTTAACTTTCTCTTTCAATTAGTAAAGAGCATTTTACATTTACATGTATACTTTGCTTATTTCATTGAAGTTCACTTTAGTCAATTTCACTTTTTTATGTCTAAGGGTTCATACAGAAATCAGTTTTATCAAATTCCATGACCTTTTATGATCTTTTTAAGTTTGCATAATACACTAAGGTACCAAATAATCGTATACAATATTCATAAAAATAAACACAGATTTAAAGAAGAGAAAAAATAACACTTAAAGCAAATTATACACCACAAAAAATGTGTAAACCATAGTATAGGTCATATGGCAATTTTCCCGCTCTACTAATTGAGGAAAACCTCATGTGCACCTATGTGCTTTATTTCAGAGTAGAACCAATTATGCTCAATAAGCTAGCTGGATAGCTTTCTCAAATGAAACTAGAAATGTGTCCATAGGACACGGGTGCCCCCACCGCGCCACTGTTCTGTCAATCTTTTTACTAAGTCAAGGGAAATAACTCTACAAATACTGGATAAATCCACAAGCGAAACCCCAGGTGCAAATCTAAATATGCTGAGCAATCTGCCCGTAAGGTTTAATGAATATGTCAAATCCTTTTTGAGTAACTTGCGACACAAGTTGAAAATTGCAAAAATTTTCTAAGTGAAGGGCAATAGCTCTAAAAATACTAAATAAATCCAGACGAAAATACCTGGTGCACAACTGCACATGCTGATCAACATTCCTATAAAGTTTCATGACTCTAGGTCAAATACTTTTTGAGTTACGTGCGACACATGTTGAAAATTGCAAAATTTTACTAAGTAAAGGGCAATAACTCTAAAAATACAAAAAACATCCAGACGAAAATACCCAGGTGCACAACTACACATGCTGATCAACATTCCTGTAAAGTTTCATGACTCTAGGTCAAATACTTTTTGAGTTACGTGCCACACAAGTTGAAAATTGCAAAATTTTACTAAGTCAAGGGCAATAACTCTGAAAATACTAATAATATCCACACAAAAATACCCAGGTGCACAACTACACATGCTGATCAACATTCCTGTAAAGTTTCATGACTCTAGGTCAAATACTTTTTGAGTTACATGCGACACAAGTTGAAAATTGCAAAATTTTACTAAGTCAAGGGTAATAACTCTGAAAATACTAAAAATATCCACACAAAAATACCCAGGTGCACAACTACATATGCTGATCAACATTCCGGTTAAGTTTCATGACTCTAGGTCAAATACTTTTTGAGTTACATGCGACACAAGTTGAAAATTGCAAAATTTTACTAAGTCAAGGGCAATAACTCTGAAAATACTAAAAATATCCAGACGAAAATACCCAGGTGCACAACTTCACATGCTGATCAACATTCCTGTAAAGTTTCATGACTCTAGGTCAAATACTTTTTGAGTTACGTGCGACACAAAAGTGAACGGACGGACGGACGGAAGGACGGACGGACGGACGGACGGACAGACGGACGGACGGACGGACAAGGGTAAATCTAAATGCCCGCCACTAGCGTGGGGGCACAAAAAGGTGAAGATGCGGGTGAAGCTCTAACTTACAGCAGAGAGAGGCAAGGGGTCTAGAGTCATTAAAGATAACCCTTGGCCACAGATATTAAAATCACTACACTGTAATATGATGACGTTGCCAATAGTGATACACCTAAGTAAATACCTATAGGGTAAATATTTATGTAAGTAAATAAATTTAAAATTACCTCCCCATCACAGGTAACAAAGCTATCCGAGGTATCTGAAGTACTGAGGTTAAGGTGTAGGGACTCTTGTTGTCTACTATCATCTCTGTATTCATCTGGAGAACTTAACCTGGGCTCAATATATGGATGATCTGAAAATATTCATAATATATCTTCTATATCGCTAAACGCTAACATTCATTTACACACACACATTCATGTAAAATATTTTCTGCCTGTATATAATTAACCGTCTTGTTAAACATTCCCTTAAAATTAATTTTAACTTATACTTCACAATATAAACTTTAAGCCTACAATTAAGAAAGCATACTTGTTGTATAGTGTGCATGAAACAAAGGCCTAAAAGTGACACAAGTCTTCTCAGACATGATTTGATTCAGATACAATGTCAATAATAAGCACTTTGGGGGCATTGGGTTTACACCCACAATTGTGTATGTTGTAGGGATGCTACTGTCCAGTTTTACTGGTGGAGGGCCTCAGGAGCTATATTGTACATTATTTCAGGCATGACTGGGCACCTGAGAATATCCTGTATGGTTTTCTCACATGAAGGAATCTAGAATATTTCATGTTCACAAACCTTGCAACACAAGCACATGTGCATAATTGTGTCAAAATTTCATTATGGCTATCTCCTAAAAGTTCACATGTTTGTTAAGCACTTCTATTGACAAAGTATATCCTAACACTTACCTGGAGATGTCACATCTAACAAATGAGTTTCTTGTCCGTTACTAAAATATCTATCAATTTGTCTCTGTACATTACTCAAGAACATGCTGGATCTACGTCTTCGGGCAAACTCATGTAGATAGTCCTCTAGTCGCTGAGTATTATACATAGAATCCTCAAACACATTACCAGATGATGTGTCTGATACATTTCTATCCAATTCATTGGGACTGGATGAGTCTGACCTTAAGCTATCTAAGCTTAAACCTATCAAAATATAATTTTAACATAAATTACATTGAACAAACACTATAAATAAAATTAGCTATAGTATTTCTACCAGATACTGAAATAAATCAGTGAACTTTTCCATATAAAGAAGAAACTTGATGCTTAACATTGATGCTTAACATTGATGAAATATTACAAGACTTAAATATGGAAATGTCTAATGTTAAGATAGTTCAAAATATTAATACTGAGAAGTAAGCAGTAGATATATAGCCTCACTAGGTACCACTATATGCTTATGGCATAGTGTCTGGCAGGAACAGAGTTAAGATAAATCACTTACGTTTGTAAGTAAACATTGGAGTGGTAGTTTGTTCATCATCTGAGTGAAGTTCAAACATGTACTGCTTTATAACTTGAAGGACATCATCATGTTGGTAATTTATAGCCATGTCCTCCACACTCAATCCTTCCTGAAACACAACAAATACAATATTTCTAACACTTTACAATCATCATGTTCCAACATTATGCTTATTTTTCATGAAACTATAATGAATAATGAAGAAGTATTGGCAAGAGAAACAAGAGATATCATTAGGACATCAGGCTTGACTTTTCTCAACGCTTGATAGTAAAACAAGAGCCTGTATAATGTAAAATTTTCTACATTCAAAAAGGACCATAATTCTGTCAAAACTCATGTTAGAGATATCATCAGCTAAGGACCTTAGACAGTGACCTCGTATCATGCTATCAATAAGTGTTAATAAGTAGTTTTGAAGGTACAAACTTGCACATAAAAATTTAACCAGAGTGTGACGCCAACACTTGGGTGTGTGTTCAATAGATCTCCCTATTCTTCAAATATTCAAAACAATATCTCTAAGTCTTTATTAATTGATCTACAGAAGATAATAATTGCTGGTAATAAATTTTTGAATAAAAACTTACTTTAATCTATAAAAAAAAATGAGAACAAAAATCATTTAAACACATATTAAATTAAATAAAAAAAGACAAAGTTTGCTTACATTATAATTGTTGCCTGGTACAAATTTGATAATATCCAAAGGCTCAACCATAATAAAATCAATCAATGACTTATATATGAAGTATGAAAAAATAATCACTGAAATAATAATATATAAACTCCATTTTCATCAACACATAAATTCTAATAAATAAAATAATACCTTATCTCTGATATAAGGGTCACCTCCATTTGCCAATAATATCTGGACACAGTCACACATACCCCATATTGCAGCAACATGAACAGGTGTTGTACCATCATTTAATCTGTTCAAAATGGGAAATATAGAATATTAAGTATGATAGAATGTAGAAAATAGTTTTATGAAGTGAAAATGAAGGATAAAGTTATTGGATTTAGACAGTGGCTAACAATTATGATTTAAAAGAAATATGTAAAATTTCAAGTGCACATTTTGATCTTCAGTGACAGGGTATATTTATATGACATGCAAAACCATAAAAAAACAATTTTTTCTAGCAGTGTTACAATTCATCGATGCCTTCCAATTTACCAAGTCCATCATGTATCACGATGCAATACATATTTCACTTTACAATTCATTTACACAGCTGACAAGTATCTCAGCTGGAAACCTGACCCTTGTACCAAACACAATTTCCAACATATTTGTGCCAAGTTGTTCTAAAATCGATCTAGGATTGACAGAATTTTTGACCAGACACAATCAAAGTTGTTACAGATCACAAATTTTTACCTAATATTTGGGTCACCATTGTACTGTAAAAGTAAACAAAGTGGTTCAATGCCCAGTCCTGCAGCTAAATGCATTGGTGACACACCTTCTTCACTATTTATATAATTTGGGTCAGCCCCTCTCTCTAGCAATTCTCTGGCACGTCTATAAACAAAAAAAATGATAATGAAAATTATGTTACCTAGAACTAATTAATTTTGACATGATAATGCAGTCATTTGTTACTACTTCTCCTTCTTGAGGGAGTTGGCTATAACAGTCAAGTACAAGCTGTGATTTTACCTTGTGCAAGTACTGTTTATTCAAAATAAAAAGTGGCTAGCTGTTGAGAACATACCATAATGCAAGTTAAAACTTTAGGGCCACCCTTAAAAAAATCTATCTGATTGCTATTGCTGACCCAGGGTTACAAGGGTTGGGTCGGTATGTAGGCTTTTCTTCTTTATATATATGTATATATATATATATATATATATGATTTTCACGGAACCTTACAATAAAATATATATAGGCTTGGTTGTACTTGTAGCAGATGATAAATTATGTGGACATGGCTCCCCAGCTTTGCCATATCCGCTTTGAATTATAGGAACCAACATAAAACCGAATGGGTCCGCCTATAGCCGACTGTTTCTTATCTTCAAAGCGCAGCGCATTTGCATACGGCAAAGCTGGGCAGCCACGTTTGAATTTGTCGAAAGATTTTTTAAATGGAGTAAAACGTGATAATCTTGTTGTTTATTTTGCCTGTTGCATTGTTTATATTGACGTTGAAAGTTTAAAATTGACAATTATTGTGAAGAATTATATCTTCTGTGTCGATGGACCAAAGGATTATGTGAAAATATTGGAAATGGAATAAAAATACATCGTGATTTTGACGGTAGGTGTCCGGATTTTTTTCCGGCGAACATTTTTATCTTGTGTAGAGACGTTGAAATATGAAATCTTTTCAAAACGGCTTATATTAAGTTTTTTATACATATATGATCAGTTCATGAGCTGGGATTGACAAATATACATTTTATTTGGATTTTAAAGGCGTTTTGAATTCCACACCCCAAGTGTCTGTGGCCACTTCCAATAATTTATGACTCGAAATCGTGTTTCACCAGAATTACAACCGTTGCATCGTATTTTACAAGATATATCTATTTATAGTTCTATAATTTCAGAAAGAGACTGAGATAAATCTGTACTGATTACGTTATATTTCCTATTTTCACATTTTCCAACAACAAATTTTGGTTTGTTTCGGCCATCTTGAATTTGGCGCCACATGTCTAATACATTGACAATATAGTAGAAAATATCGTTATCATCATCAGCAGCACAGGTACGATATTTACATGTATGTAATATGTACATGTAGTGCGTCAGCCCTTTAAGGCACAAAAGCTTTGTCAAGTAAACATCTACATCTACATCATACTGCTTAACAATCAATTATGATTATGACTAGCAGGCATTATGATTATGACTAGCAGGCATAAAATTGAAACAAGGACGCCCATAAGTTTGAGCAAAGGAAAAATATACTGTTAAGGCAAGCCCCTTACTGTCGTTTGCAGAAGCAAGTACATTTGGAGCTTCTCAGAGCTCATTTATCTATCTCTCTGTAAGTACTGCCACCCCCTCTCGCGAGTGTTATAGAAGGGAAAAAAAACATCTGTTAACTGTTACAGAATTGAAAAATATTGTTTTAAGATTAATTTACAAAGCAAATTAAGTCCTCTCCATAACCAATGCTCATTTTTTAGTTGGAAAAACATTAGGCATAGGATTTTAATTGAGTTTCATGGTGAACTGTCCTTAGCAATCAGTGACTACCCATAGCAACCAGTGACTCACATAGTTACCATTGACTGTCCATAGCGACCATAGACGTCTTTAACACTAAATGACTAGCCGTAGAAACCATTGTCTCCCCATAGCAACCAGTAACTTGCTCAGAAAACATTGACTTACCATAGCAATAAGTGACTTCCTTAAGAAACATTGACTTTCCAGAGCAACCAGTGACTTCCCATAGCAGCCAGTGACTTCCTTAGCAAACATTGTTTTCAATAGTAACCAGTGACTTCTCATAGCAACCAGTGACTCACATAGTAATCATTGACTGTCCATAGCGACCATAAACGCCTTTCATACTAAATGACTAGCCATAGAAATCATTGACTTCAAATGGCAGCCAGTGAATTCCATAGCAAACAGTTACTTCCCATAGCAACCAGTGAGTCACATAATAACCATTGATTGTCAATAGCGACCATAGACGCCTCTAACACTAAAATAACTTGCCATAGGAACCATTGACTTCCCTTAACAACCAGTGACTTCTTTAGCAAACATTGACTTTCCATAGCAAGAGTGACTTCCCATAGCAACCAGTGACTCACATAGTATAACCATTGACTGTCCATAGCGACCATAGACGCTTTTAACACTAAATAATTAGCAAAAAGAATCCATTGACTTCCAATAACAACCAGTGATTTCCTTAGCAAACATTGTTTTCAATAGTAACCAGTGACATCTCATAGCAACCAGTTACTCACATAGTAACCATTGACTGTCCAGAGCGAACCATAAACGCCTTCAAACTAGATAACTAGCAAAAAGAATCCATTGACTTCCCAAAGCAACCAGTGTCTTCCTTAGCAAACATTGACATTAAATAGCAACCAGTGACCCACATAGTAATCATTGGCTGTCCATAGAGACCATAGACGCCTTTAACATTAACTAACTTGCCAAAGAACAAATTGACTTCCATTAGCATTTTTGAGAAGGCTGAAGGGTCACATTTACAAAAATGTAAGCCAACGTGAAACGACCGTGAGAAATCCGCGCGCGCGGACCCTTTTTCGTTGTTACGTTCTTTATGTGTAAATGTGCGTAAAAAACAAAACACAATGCGCTTGAGTCAACTGCTTAGACACCGCTCGTCCGATTTCGTTGCAGATTCAATTTTGTACAAGTGTGAAGGGTCCCCTTTACAGAAATGTATGACTCAAAGCCCTAGAGCCAGTGAAACAACCGTGAGAACTCCGCGTGATGAGCCCGTTTTATGTTGTTGCATGAATATTATGTAAATGTGCGTAAAAAAAAAGACAAGGCGCCTGAGCCACTGCTCCGACACTGCTCATCCAATTTCGTTGCGGATTCAATTTTTGTACAAGCTTGAAGGGTCACTTTTACAGAAATGTAAGTCTCCAAGCCGTAGCCCAAGTGAAAAGTCTTTGGGAACTCCTCGCGCGCGGCCATTTTGTCGTTGTTAGGTCCTAATTCATACGTAAATGTGCGTAAAAAACACAAGGCGCTCACAGCCACTGTTTCGACATCATCCGTCCGATGCCGTTGCGGATATAATTTTGTACAAGTGTAAAGGGTCCCCTTTACATAAATGTAAGTCTCCAGTCTCCAAGCCCTAGCCCAAGAAAAAAGTCCGTGAGAACTCCGCGCACTCGGCTTGTTTTTCGTTGATACGTCCTTATTAATGAGTAAATGTGCGTAAAAAAACACAAGGCACCAACGTCCACTGCTTCGACATCATCCGTCCGATTCCGTTGCACATTCAATTTTGTACAAGCTGCAAGGATCGTCTTTGCAGAAATGTAAGTCTCCAAGGTATACCCCAAGTAAAACGTTCGCACGCGGCCCGTTTTTCTTAGTTACGTCTTATTGATATGTAAATGTGCGCAAAATAAAACACAAGGCGCCTGAGTCCACTGCTTCGACAACGCTCGTCTAATTTCGTTGCGGATTCGATTTTGTACAAGTGAGAAGGGTCCCCTTTACAGAAATGTAAGGCTCAAAGCCCTAGAGCCAGTGAAACAACCGTGAGAACTCCGCGTGACGGGCCCGTCTTATGTTGGTACATCCTTATGTAAATGGACGCAAAAAAACACAAGGCGCTTGAGCCCGCTGCTTCGACACCGCTAGTCCGATTGCATTGCGGATTCGATTTTGTACAAGCTTGAAGGGTCACCTTTACAGAAATGTAAGGTTCCAAGCCCTAGCCCAAGTAAACTGTGCTTGAGAAATCCGCGCGCGCGGTCAGTTTTTCGTTGTTCCGTTCTTATCAAAAACATAAGGCGCCCACAGCCACTTTACAATGGTCAAGCACAATAAGAGGAAATGCAGTGCACAAGAACCATAACTCTATCCAGAGTAATTACAGAGTTATTGCCCTTTGTTATTTTTCCGTCCAGAGTATATTAACTTGAAAGCAACTAGATGGAATTCAATACAACTTCATACAATGGTCAAGCACATTGAGAGGAAGTGCAGTGTACAAGGCACATAACTCCATCTTGACTAATTATAGAGTTATTGCCCTTGGATACTTTTTTCTTGTCCGAAGCATAACTTGAAAAATCATGGTTGGATTTAAAAACAACTTCATACAATGGAGAAAGTGCAGTGCACAAGAACCATAACTCCATCTTGACTTATCACAGTGTTATTGCCCTGCATTACTTTTCTTGTCCAGTGCATTACTTGAAAACTAATGTTTAGAATTCAAAGCTACTTCATACAATGGTCAAAATACAGTGCACAAGAACCATAACTCTATCCAGAGTAATTATAGAGTGATTGCCCATTGTTACGTTTCCATGTCGCAGACCATTACATGAAATCTACTGGTTGGAATTCAATACAAGTTCGAACAATGGTCAAGTATATTGAGAGGAAGCGCAGTGCACAGGAACCATAACTCATTCTTGACTTATTTAAGAGATTTTGCACTTTGTTACTTTTTCTTGTCCAGTGCATAACTAAAAAATTTTTATTGTCCAGTGCATATCTTGAAAATTATTGATTAGAATTCAATGCAACTTCATACAATGGTCAAGCGCAGTGAATTAAAGTGCAGTGCTCAAGAACCATAACTCTATTTGGACTAATTACATAGTTATTGCCCTTTGTTGCTTTTTCTTGTCCAGTGCATAACTTGAAAACTAGTAGTTGGAATTCAATACAACTTCATACAATGGACAAACGCAATGAGAGGAAGTGCAGTGTACAATAAACATAACTCCAACTTCAGTATTTGCAGAGTTATTGCCCTTTGTTCCTTTTCCTTGTCCGGTGCATAACTTAAAAACTAATGTTTGGATATAGTGATGAATTTCATTATTTGCTTGAATGTGATACTTTTAAAGAAATCAGAACAAAAAATGTTGAGGAAATATCATTATTGTCACTCAAATGCCTATAAATTGAATGAACTAATGAACAGTAAAGATCATGTTAAATTAACAAAATTAGCTTTACTTTGTAAGAAAATCCTATTAGTTGTTAAATGAGATCTTTTTTGGTAACTTGTCATTGTTATTGTCATCTAGTTTTGTTATTGGCCGGGTTGCACTGGTGCAAATCCGGGTTATATATATGGTGAATGTCGGGCGGCGGGCGGGCGGTGAAAAACTTTTCGTAACAGTTTTCTCAGCAACTACTTATAACAGCCTCTTGATATTTGGCAAACAGCATTGATATGTGGTCCCATACCGTGGGATTCTATTTCAGGTCTGTTGCTTATCCACTTCCTGTTTACTGACTTAGTTAAATTTTCGACATTAATGGTCAATGGTAGGAAATTTTCGTAACAGTTTTCTCAGCAACTACTTATCACAGCCTCTTGATATTTGGCATACAGCATTGATACGTGGTCCCATACCGTGGGATTCGATTTCAGGTCTGTTGCTTATCCACTTCCTGTTTACCGACTTAGTTAAATTTTCGACATTAATGGTCAATGGTAGGAAATTTTCGTAACAGTTTTCTCAGCAACTACTTATCACAGCCTCTTGATATTTGGCATACAGCATTGACATGTGGTCCCATACTGTGGGATTCTATTTCCGGTCTGTTGCTTATCCACTTCCTGTTGACTGACTTAGTTAAATTTTCGACATCATGGACATTAATGGTCAATGGTAGGAAATTTTCCTAACACTTTTCTCAGCAGCCTCTTATCACAGCCTCTTGATATTTGGTATATAGCATTAACATGTGGTCCCTTACCTTAGGATTCGATTTCAGGTCTGTCGCTCATTAACTTCCTGTTTACTGACTTTGTTAAATTTTCGACATTCATGGTTAATGGTAGGAAATTTTCGTAACAGTTTTCTCAGCAACTACTTATCACAGCCTCTTGATATTTGGCATACAGCATTGATACGTGGTCACATATACCGTGGGATTCGATTTATCCATATCATTTTTACCGACTTAGTTAAATTTTCGACATTGATGATCAGCGGCAAA